CTTGCTCCTCTGGCCTCTTCTCCTTTTTTTTTTTTTTTTTTTCCTTTATTGGCTAACTTTTTGATTGGTTGCTTTAGGTTTGGAGGTTTTGGGTCTTTTGTTGTTGTTTTTTTTTTTTTTTTTCCTTTTTTTAAAACCAAACTGTAAATTATTTTATTAACAGGCATTATAAACAGATAAGGCTAAACTTATTTTAAAAACCATGAGCGTCACACCAGTGAATATAACTTAACCAGTGAATAACTTAAAATGTATTTCTTATTTTAAAAGGCAACACTTAGCATACAAAAAACCTTTACTGAACAAATAAGCTATAATATGGATACATGATTGATGTGTCTAAAATGATATATATGTATACATAATTGTTAATTATGTGATCAGTACATTGTTCTGCATAATTTCCTTCATGCTTCACTTTTTCCAGAAGCTGAATTCTGAACTTCTTCTTCTAAAATTGGTACAATCAGCTTATCCTTCGACATCAAACTATATTTCATCACAAATTTAGTAAACCGATGGCATAAAAATGTTTCACTTTCATATTCATCAAATATCTGCCGGTGCTGAAAATAGGCATGTGAAAATATTCTATAAATCCTACAGCACACTGATCTTAGTTTTGCTACAGATGAGTCTTTAATGCTAACCCTGCCGGGAAAATATTTATTGCTCTTCAGAAGACAAGCAGCTCCATCAAGTGTGTGTCTTGTATAATCTATGGCAGGACACTCTTTTGGAGTTTTAGGAGCTGCACAAAGAAAAATCCATTGTTCAGTTGCTGTCACTTGAGCACACATATCTGAATGGCATTCACTCTGAAGTTTAACAGTAAGTCCATTTAGTTCAAGGCAGAATTGCCTTAAATGTTCATCTTCCATACACCTTCATCTTGACCTTCAGGTGGTTCAAGAATTTTGTCAGTATTGAAGCAGTCTGCCCTTATGTTCTGTTGAATATACGGCTGAACAGCAAGTGTACTGTCCATCTCATCAAATGATTCATCAGGCCAATTATAGAATCCTGCGCCTTCATGCCCGGCGCAGCACTGCCATCCCCTCCACCATCACCATAGTGCCAGAGTCTGGGTGGCTGTCGTCAGTACTCGGACGTTTGTTTTGTTCCTTTTATTTGTTTGTTTTGTAACAGGATCTTATGTACCGCAGGCTATGCTCAAAGTCCTGATCTTCCTGCCCTGACTCCCCAGCTCGTAGCAACATGCTCTGCTAGTACCTCCAGCTTCTGTGCAAACTACCCCGGGAGAGGTGTGCTGTGTATCAAGTGCTCAGGGAAGGCGCTTGTCACAACGCTGAAGTTCCCTGGGTCCTGTCACATCGACTGACCCTGTCACAGCAGAACAGAACCCCTCAGGGCTGCTCTTCTCAGCTCCCGAAGGATGACCTGGAGGGCTGTTTCCCATACAGTTTTCGAGATCTAGACTTTTGGATGTTCCCCCCACTGTTTTGTGAACTTTCTCTAGGGTGACACAGTCTACTCTCCCCAGATAGGGCACCAGTGACCAACCAGTATAACAGTTTTACCAAAGTCCAGCCCATCACTGCAAAGCGTCGCCTGGACGGGTGGCCACTTCCTTGTTGCTGTATAGATGGTGTCTCCCTTTCAGGTAACCCTCCACACACAATTAGAGGTTTTGGCATCGGCAGCTTGGGTGGGGAAGGTATTGGAAGTAGTAGCTGGAAAGGGGGGAGGGTCAGTGATCCTCCCCAACCCCGCCTTCTGTGAAGAAACAGCAAGCCTGACCTTGAGAATCTCCTGGGCACTTCAGCTACTCTCGCGGAGATGGGAAGGCAGTGGCCACCATGCTCAGAGGACAGTGGTCCACAGCACCCTCCAGAGGGAAAATGAGTAACAACTGCTGCTGGAGCACTCGCTCTGCACCGGGCTCCTCACTGAGAGCACCATCAACGCTTACAGCAGCCCAGGAAATTCTTTTCAGTTAGTGTTGTCTGTGTCCTGTGGATGAGAAAAGTGAAGGACGTAGAGCTTCCCGGTGCATTCAAGGCAAACAGCAGAGCCCGGATTCAAATCCAGATGAAATGAGTTAAAATGCCACTTAGACAGAAGGCAGTAATTATGGTGAAAGATAGTTGACAGACAAAGCCTGCGGTCTGTAAATGTAGTCACAGTTAATGGCATGACCACACGGCTGGCCTTCTGATCCCAGAGGGTCACTGTCTGAGAGGAACTCATCCTCCTTCGCTGGTACTTTTCTGTGCTGCAGAGATAGTTTCCATGTGCTCTATAAAATGTCCAACTTCTGTTTAGTGCGATCTGGATGTTACCCTTTTCCCTTCAGTCCTTTCTGTGACTCCCTCCTATGCTCACTCCCCCGGTTGCTCACCTCTTGGAGCTCTATTCCTCCTGGCAGGCAATGGTGTCTTTACTTAAAGCAACAATGACTTAAAAGACCGGTCATATTTGTTGAGACTTTGTTGTTGTTGTTTGTGTGTGTGTGTTTGTTTTCTGTTTTGTTTTTACTTACTCTGTGGCCAAGGATTATCTTGAACTTCTGATCCTCCAGCTTTTACATCCCGAGTGCTGGGAGCACAAATGTGTGCTACCATGTGTGATTTCAAGCACTGTTGGGGATCAAAGCCAGGGTTTTATGCACACTAGGCTGTGTTCTACCAACTGAGCGGCATTCACTACCCTGCTGTTAGGAATTGGCATAGCATACTGTCTTAGCTTTCTGTCACCATAATGAAATACCTGAGAGAATCAGCTAATAAAGGGAGAAAGTTAGTTAGTTTTAAACTCAGTGTTGGAGGTTCCCTTTCACAACTGGCTCATTGTTGCTTTGTGCCAGGCAGCGCACCATGGCGGCTGCAGAAGGCAGAGTGAATCCACTCACACCACAGGCTGGAGAACAGAGAGAGAAGGTGTTGGAGGTCCACAGTCCCTTTTGATGGCACACCCCAGTGACCCGGACTTCCCATTAGATTCTGCTCTCCCACTGGCATCACGAGGGGGACCACCTTGATCACGTGGGATACCATACCATTTGACAATGACAAATCCATGTGATGAAGCCAAGGGCTCCCAGCTTGACTCTTAAGGCCCTCTCTGACCCTCCTTCCTCGCCTCCCTCCCTCCATCTCTGGCTCTCCTTCCTAGGCAATAACCCCCCCCCCCCCCCAGCTAAACAGATCTCCCAATACCAGGCTTCCCACTTCAGGGCCTGTGTGCATTTGTTCCTCCTTATTTTAGAAAGCACTCCTTGAGCTCCAGTCTTCTGCATATTTAAGCGCTAGTTGTTTTCCAGACTCAGCTGCGGGGACACATCTTCCAGGTTCCCAGGTCCCTGAAGGCCAAAGGAGAAGCAACTGATCCTAGCTCTCAGATTTCACAGTACTCATCTGTTCCTCCTTTTATGGTAAATTCAGACAGCCTTAATTAGGACATTCTTAGCCCACATATATTTAATTTTATACATGCCTGCCTCTCCAACTATTTTAAGCCTTCTGAGGACAGATTCCCTATCTTAGTTTTCTACTTCTCTTTCTTTCTTTCTTTTTTTTTTTCTGGTTTGTGTTTCTCTTTTTCGAGACAGGGTTTCTCTGTGTAGCCCTCGATGTCCTTGAACTCACTCTGTAGATCAGGCTGGCTGAACTCAGAGGTCCTCCTGCCTCTGCCTCCACAGTGCTGGGATTAAAGGAATGTGCCACCATGGCCTAGCTAGTTTCATACTTCTCAATGCTGAGTAATATTCTACCCAGCCCCTAGCACAGGGCGAGCAGAGGTAGTTGGTCCTCGATGAGTGCACACAGCTGGACATTAAGATGCACAGTTGTTACTATGTCCTTGGCCAGCATCTTCTTTTTTGGAAGGCCACTCTGTTGGACTTATTCCCCTGAGTTTCAGTAAGTAGTGGGAGAAAGCTTAGTGGCTGGCAAATGGCCCAGCCTGATTCCCTAACAGTAATTAACAGTAAGTAAATCAGGCCTTGGTGAAGAGCAAGACTCTGTAGATGATGTCCCATCATTTCTAAGTCTACCTCTGGCAGGTATGGTGCACACACCCGCTGTCTCAGCTTCTTAAGACAAGGTGAAGACTAGCCTTGTCAAC